TTCCGCGACGAACTTCGTAGACGGGGCCTATCCAGTAGGCCGGCCGAAGCTCCCTTTGTTCAATAATAACATCAAAAAGCGAGTCTTCATTCACAGGAACCTTGGTCGGCTCGGACGACGCACCTCCTACCGACCTGCTGTATGAGTCATGCTCGTTCTCGACATCAGACTGTAGAAGTGCTTGAAATGCATCTTCGACGGCTTCAGAGTCTCTGGAAATGAACGGGACAAACTTCTTCGGGGGCGCTAAAGGTTTCGAGTCACCCTTTTGATCGCGGGGCCCGGGCTTCCATTTGGGCGAATCCACAGCATAGAACCACCTAACCTTCAGCGGAGGACAGTCTTTGGGGTAGCGACGCGGACTCAACCCATGTCTATGTGACACTGTATGGTCCTCTCCTCGAGAACGTTGTAGGAGGTCTTTCGTACCGTTGTCGGGCTGCGGGGTCGTACTTCTAGGGGGTTTACCCGGAGTGAAGGCCCCAAAGAAAGTCCCCTTTTGACTGTCTTTTGACATCAAGCTCTTAAGAGCCCGGTATGACGGAGCACGAGCCAATGCGTTTGGTAGCGAGCAAATGCGATGGCTATTTAATATGGTGGCAAGGCGGTTAGCATAGAAGAAGGCCACGTAGTTAGACAGCGCGATGGTGATATAGCCAATAGTTAAGGTAGACCAAAGATGCTTCAGAGGATCAAAGCGCGAGGTTGGTGTAAGCTGACCAGATATAGATCTATTCACCGTTGTTCTCCTCGTGCTTATACTGTCTTTAGCGCGTGGTCAAATAAGCATCTCAGAGCCTAGACAACGTGAAGCTGCACCGAATTCTTGGCAAAGCCGAACTCCAGGGTTGCAAGGAAACGACCATTTAATCGGGACACATTTACAGTAAGTCGCCGGCGTGGCAATGAGGAAACCCATGAAGCGGCCATCGACCGACTGGACTGCATTTAGATCCTGTCAGGGGCTACGCTACTGTATATCTACAAGATAGGCTACCCCATGTTCGACCTAGGATCACCTCAATAGACTTAGCAGGAATAAAACTGCGTACGGACCGGTAACTACTCACTACTTACTAGTACTGACCACTGCAAAGACCGTAATTACCATATAATACAGAAGAAAGTATGGCCGTGCTGATCATCGGGTGCCAAGCGATTTATTTTTCATCCATCCATGACCATGATGGTGCAAATAAGCCGTAGAATGACCAGGACTACAACCTTCAGATCCATCCACGTCATGGAATAATTTTGTACGTATTCATATTGCTAACTAATGAAGAGATCTGAACATACAAACTGATCGACCCTTACCTGTCGGCTAATAACGACAAAGTACTGTACTACAAAAGCAGTACGTAGCAGTACTACTCCGTATTCGCAACCCCCACCTTTATTTCCCCACTTTCCTAGTAGGTAGAGGAAAATAGCGCAACTACGTACCTAGGTGCCTAAGTACGCCGTGCTTACTCCATTATAATGGTGCCGAGTGAAGACTGCCAACTTCTTCTTGTACCCATCTTTGATTCGAATTACATCATCAGATCGGTGACCCCTTCTATACTGCTATATTCATACGCTCACAAACCCTATTGTAATACCATTGACGTCTCCTCACCAAGCTCTTAACTTGCCAGTCTGTATTGGAAAGTACCTGAGCAAACCTCCTGAGGATGAACGTGATCAAACTCCAAAGGCAAGTCGATGGCTCCGATAGAAAACCCCACCATTCGAGATATTGCCCGGCGCCGACTGACTCTGCAGCGCAGAAAATATCCGCAGTTCGAGCAGTCGGAGATTTTCTCTCTCCAAGATGCTTTTCGAAAGCTGGATGTTGATGATAAAGGCTCCTTAGACGAGGCAACCGTTATTAAAGCCACCCAACAATCAGAACGAAAGCCCTATGATGTTGTGCGTCAGGCCTTGAAAGAAGTTGAACTCGACAGCTCTCGCCGAGTCGAGCTCGAAGATTATGTGGACGTCAGTATGCCACTATTGCTGTGCTCTTTTGGTCGTCCCTCTGTACTGTGGTCGCTAAGACAAATCTCAACAGCTTATTTCTAAACTTCGCTTTGCCTCGACGCAAAACCAGGCGGCTTCGGCTCCTGCACCAGTCCTTCCGGGTAATGGAGCCGGCCCGTCTCGACATGTCTCCAAAGGCAGTATAGGAGGCAGGATTCATGTCCAAGGTTCCTCGGCGAATGTGACACATACGATTAACGAGGATGAGAGAACAGAATTTACTAGGCACATAAATGCTGTTCTTGCTGGTGATCCAGACATTGGTCACTCCCTACCCTTTCCCACCGACACGTTCGAAATGTTCGATAAATGTAAGGACGGCTTGGTCTTGGCGAAGTTGATCAATGATAGTGTCCCGGACACTATTGATGAGCGCGTTCTGAACAAAGCCGGGAAAAAGATCAAAGAACTGAATGCATTCCATATGACGGAAAACAACAACATCGTGATCAATTCAGCCAAGGGTATTGGCTGTTCTGTTGTGAACATAGGAAGCGGCGACATCATAGAAGTGCGTGAGCACCTTATTCTGGGATTGATCTGGCAGATTATCCGCCGCGGTCTTTTGGGCAAGATTGATATCAAATTGCACCCTGAACTGTACAGGCTCCTGGAGGATGATGAAACATTGGAGCAGTTCCTACGCCTTCCACCGGAGCAGATTCTTCTCCGTTGGTTCAATTATCATCTGAAGAACGCAAAATGGAACAGAAGGTACCTTGCACTATCCTGGCAGGAGGTTTCCAGCTGTGAAACTACGACCAAACCTACAATCCTAGAGATGCAACCGACTAACTCTGTTATAGGGTGACAAATTTCTCATCTGATGTGAAGGATGGTGAAAATTACACCGTGCTTCTGAATCAATTGGCCCCGGAGACCTGCTCGCGGAGCCCTCTTCAGACCCAGGATGTTCTTCAGAGGGCAGAACAAGTCTTGACGAATGCGGACAAACTGGGCTGTCGGAAGTTCCTGACACCCTCCTCGCTCGTCGCAGGGAACCCCAAACTGAACCTTGCTTTTGTGGCGAATTTGTTCAACACTATTCCAGGCCTCGACCCAATCACCGAAGAAGAGAAGCTTGAAGTAGAAGATTTTGATGCTGAGGGTGAGCGGGAAGCCAGAGTTTTCACCCTGTGGCTCAATTCTCTCGACGTACAGCCCGCTGTCAATTCTCTATTCGATGATCTTAGGGATGGAACTGTATTGCTGCAAGCATACGACAAAGTGATGCCTGGCAGTGTCAACTGGAGACACGTCAATAAGCCTCCGGCTTCCGGGGGAGAAATGATGCGTTTCAAGGCAGTTGAGAATACTAACTACGCCACTGAGCTTGGGAAACACGTGGGATTTTCCTTGGTAGGTGTACAAGGAGCGGATATTACTGATGGTCAACGAACTCTCACGCTTGGTTTGGTTTGGCAACTAATGCGCCGGGACATCACAAATACACTCTCGGGCCTAGCCAAACGTATGGGCAAGCGCGAGATAACAGATTCGGAGATGATCAAATGGGCAAACGAAATGTCGCACCGCGGTGGCAGATCCTCATCGATACGCAACTTTAAGGACCAGTCGATCGCTTCAGGCCTTTTCCTCCTTGACGTGCTCAATGGCATGAAGAGTAGCTATGTCGACTACGATCTCGTAACGCCTGGTCGGAACGACGAGGAGGCATACGCAAACGCTAAGCTGAGCATCAGCATAGCGCGAAAGCTAGGTGCCACAATTTGGTTGGTACCTGAAGATATTTGCCAAGTGCGCTCTCGCCTGGTTACTACTTTTATCGGTAAGTTCCAAAAACTTTGGCCTGTGGCGAGCAGCATCTATCCTACTAACACCATATGACTAGGCTCTCTGATGGCCACATACGAAAAGATGCAGTGATGGCTCGGTAAAGATGTACACCAGCGGTGCACCGCGCTTTTTCCTATCTACTCCTTTGTGAATTCTTACTGTCCTCAAAGTATATGTACGTACTAGTCATGATGCAGACAATAACAAGATGCTTCAATCCCCACCAACTTTCGTCTTGGAATGGCTGTATGTAAGACAAAATTGTGTACGAATGTGGGCATTCCCACATGCCATACTTCCTATTGCCTTGATAGCCGATAATTCTGACTCTACAACTGCAAAGTCGTCCTAGTCATTCCACCAAGTGCAAGGAAAACATAGACTAGAGTGTAGCCTTCAGTCCAGACTCGTGATACGGCAGGTCAATACTTCATGAATATCTTCCGGATTTCTCTTACCTTGTATTCTCCCAACAAACATGACGACCAATTCTACAGACTACAGAGTTACAATCGTTTTCGAAGCGGTGTTGCAGGATATGCACGAAGTCGACCGGTCTTCCGAGACGGTAAAGGTCAATGATCATCGACTATATTAGAATGCGAGCTCAAGACGGATAACGGATCGCTGTTGATCGTGACGAAAGGACGAAACAGTCTGGCGATACGATAAACAAGAAAAAGGCCCGCTCGACGTTCGTTCGGTCATGATTCGAGCTGCTGACCATGATAAATACCAATGTTAAGCAATAGTACCAAAGCCCCAATGCCTCGTATCTTTGCGCCAGCACTTCCAGGAGTTGGGCCCTTCGCGTTCTCTCTCTGCTAATGAACACTGCAATTTAGAAGGATTGAATGGCAAAGGAAAGCACATAGGAAGAATTAATGCAAAGGAAAAATGTGGAAAGCAAGACAAGAGAGCAATGGAATGAAGAGAAGAGCGCACGAGCATGGGGGGTGGAAGAGGGGAACGGCAGCTTGGGGGAGGGGTCAGGAAAATAGCGCCAGTATTGAACAGCGATAGAGCGAATTAAACATCCAGGTCGATCACCAACGTGCACTGATGACATCTTAAGCTTCACGTTATACCCCTCGGGCCTTGAAAACAATCCAGCACAGATTGAGGTCTTTGGCCAAGTGTATGGTACGAGATCTGATAGTTCATGAAGCCAAAATAACCTACTCGGCTGTATCAAGCTCATCATGAGCGGAGGTCAAGGGTTCTAAGGGGACTGCGGCAAATGATCAGCCACGACTAGAAGTGGGTGCATGCATCAATGAGCATACCTTTCCTGTCTTCACCATTGGGGATATTCTCCCGCTCGTCCTCGCGTCGTTCACGATCGTCATCACGGCGCTCCCTTTCATCCTTGATATCGCGGTCCCTCTCATCAGGGCTTCGAGAGCGGTCACGGGAACGTTCACGGTCCCGGTCGCGGCGATCATAATCCCGGTCACGGCGATCATAGTCGCGATCGCGGCGGTCATAGTCGCGGTCATGTCGGTCATAATCCCGTTCGTACCTGTCATCCCTTCGGGGAGAATAGTCGCCACGACCACGTCTAGGAGAAGGAGAGCGGCCACGTCGTGGCGGAGTACGGTCACGTCGCCGGTCCCGGCCAGAGTCAAAACGCCAAGAAGCAGATGGAGGAGTACGCGCCCACTTCAACCATGTCAGCCAAGTTATGGAATCCATAGTCTTCTACTCACCTCAATTTTCAACAGATCATCGCGGCCAATCCGCTTATTATGCATTTCATGGTATGCATCATCTGCGTCGCGGCGGCTCTCGTACTCCACAAAGGCAAACCTTAGGTCGTGAGCAAGTATCATTCAGGGTTCGAAGCCTCGATTAAACATACAGTCTGCTGGAAGGGGTACGCGGCGCTGGGATGTCACAGCGGACAAGACGTCCATATCTAAGTCATTGTTAGAAGAATTTCCACATACATATCAATCATTAAATATATGGTGCAAGGCAACTGTGAGAGGAAAACTCTTTCGGAGGGTCCCCCTTCAAGGAGTCCCCTCTCCAAGGAAATCGGATAAACAAGCAAATCTCTATCATAGTATGATATAGAGAGCGGCACCGACGTCGGTTTGCGGGACTCAGCCGAGGTGAATTGCGAGAATGGACACGGGTCGTATAGTCATGGTAGCGCGTAGCAATCGATGAGCGGCACGTACCGTTCGAATTCGTAGGCAAGGTCGCGAGCTCGGGTCCCGTGCCCGAAGCCGGTGACATAGAGTGTAGTACCAGGTCGAGACATTGTGTGTCAGCCAGTGAGGTTGTGTGGTTGTATGCTGAACTGGGTAGGCAAATCAACAATGGTGGTGTGGATGCGAGTGAAGCAAGAATGGGCAGGATGTAAGGAAGTCAGAGACAATTCAGGAACTACAGCTAAGTTTGTATGCCACAAGCGAAGTATCCAGGGATGCTCTAGTTGCCTATTACATAATGTCTGAGTCAGTAATTTAACTCAGAAACGGATACAATTGATATGTTACTTGCGATAAATTACATGAGTAACATGATATGTCTCTTGATATAACCACGCTGCAGATAAATAGAGAGAGCCCTTTAGGTTGAGTATATGCAGGATGTTGCCTCGTTTCTTACCTGAATGACTGAAGCCTCACATCAACTAAATAGTCAGTCTAACACCTGAGGCTAGGACGCTGATAGTTGCCGGGATATTAATCATCATTTACTGCAGCACGTCTGTATTGTATTATTAATACAATATGCTTCTCATCACTTTTGATTTGTAGTTAGCTTGGGACTGGGTTATTACGTACTCAATGTTACTAGTGTCTAGTTAGTCAACAGCTATATCAAGCTAGCATGCCGCCCTTGCAAAGAAGCAAAATTTTTCGTCTTTCGGAAATTTTCTTGACTGCACATTCTTTGATTTACTCCAAAACGCGACAGCCTCTTCCAAGATGAATGCTGAACTACAACAAGTTCAGAAAGTGTGGGAGCGTATCCGCACTAACAGCCCAATTTATGCTTTTCTACTTCAGGACATTGACATCTATGATGCTGGAAAAGGTGTATTCAATGCGAGACTCCAAGTCGGCCCTCAACATTTGAATTCAAAGGGTACCTTACATGGCGTATTTTCAGCCTGTGTCACTGACTGGGCGGGTGGGTTAGCGATTGCATCGGCCGGTCTCGATTCAACAGGTGTCAGCACGAATATTCATGTCAACTATCTCTCAACAGCGAAAACTGGAGACTGGCTAGTAATTGAAGGTCGCGCCGACAAAGTCGGGCGAAACCTTGCTTTTACAACTGTGACAATCTCAAAGCAGACTGACTCTAATGGGAGTACAGTTGTTGCACAAGGATCTCATACCAAATATATCAAGACACAATGACGGATTCAGACAGGCTTGTGAATGAGTTGTGATCGGGCTAGCAGGGAGAAAAACACGGTGGTTTCTGCATACTTCCATATAAACCGCAGTCTTCTTTGCATCTGGCATGAAACGCATATACTTTGAATGCTGGATTCACTCGGATTGCGCATAGCAATGTCCATCCTTGTTTGCTTTAGATACCTTGTCTTTTACTGGTGATGCAAGGTAATTCCGGATGGGTACACAGCACTATATAAATAAATATAATTCTCACGGTTCAACTACAAGCAGAGTTTCCTTCAGTTTTGTTACCGGAACAGGATTTGGTACTGCTACGCATGATTAGGCTTATCACTTATCCCAAGCCCTGAACTTCTTTTGGATTCTGGGCCCCAATGGTTGACAGGAGTACGGCACCACCAGAGTGTCGTCTCTCCAGATGTTGTGTTTTGTTTTCCGTGCGCAGAACGTATCTTAACGCCGTCTCCAACAAGGAGCAAACACTCAAGCCTCACCACATCCTAGTATCCCATACGCAGCGTTGACATCGGCTGGTTAAGTTTCTGATGGCAAGTTCTTATCAAGTACGGGCCAGGGACTTCGCGTACTGTGTCCATCGTACGGAGTACTGGTACCACTAATCCTGCTCCTATGTTAGACCGATATGCGCAGGTCGCATTACCTATTTTAGCTACTATATATGGCGGACTTTATCGACGATCACAAACCTATTTGGAAAATATTGATTATCCCATTTAATGTTACTGGTACAAATAGATTTAAATTGATTTGCACATTCAGAATATACATTACTCGTGGTTTTTATTTACTACTTGGTAGGCAAAAGTGCTAAGTATGTAGTAGCACTCTATAGCTATACAAGCTCGTGATTCCCCGGCCGGTTGTATTAGGTAACCAAGGCGGACATGCCGATCAGATAACCAGATGTTAAAGGACAACCGAGCTTCCTGACGACGCGCAGCCTTGATCATTCGCGAAATCTTGGTTTTCCTTCTCCTCAATAAATCTGCAAGCCTGCGTTACGGTCAATGCGATCATCTAACAGAGCCAATCGCCATGGATGAGACTTCCAACTGGGCGGAACAGTCACAGCCCAAGAAACCCGAATTAGCTGAGACTTCTAACATTGGTTTGCCGACGAGCTACAGCGAGCAGGCTGCGACGGAGAGTTTAAACCCTGTGCGATCAAAAGGAGTCATTGAATCGACACTTCAATTTCTCTCAACGGCTAATAGTGAGACTCTTCTGGGTGTCTTCGCATGCTTGGTAGGCGCGACGCTCGTACTTTTTGGAAGACTAGGTTTGCTCTTGATCGGAATTGCTAGTGGTATCATCTTGCACGCACAATGGGAGGCAGTTTATGAGGACCCTATCCATCCATTATCCAATCCCCGACAGCGAAGGAGAAAGGAGCTCGCCCTGGACATATCCAGAAGACTACTCGATTGGCCGAAAAGTACGACCTTGGCTGCCGATGCTGAACAAGATGACACTGGGCAAGTATTCCTCTTCGGGGACTCTTCCTCTGCTGATCTTGATTATTCTGCTCTTGGCCCCAAGACAGCGGATGCCCTGAGATCAATCACCGATGCAGTTATGAAGGACTATGTGATGTAAGCTCTCGCCTATAATGCTACTTCGTGAGCTTACCAGACCTCGAAAAGCTCCTGGTCTAGTCCAATATTACCGCCCGAGACAACATTTCATCTGGCATGCAGGAAGTTGTTGGCCGAGTTTATCTCGTCCTTGTCATTGCACCTCTCTCGTAAACGCTCTGCTGACACCTTTTTGGAACTCCTCACTAACTCATCCTCACTGATCATTGTGTTTTTGAATGAGCTTTCTGCAGCATTCGAGTCCGTCGGCTCCACTAAACCGCCGGAAGAGGTAGTCTTGCGCTACATAGAGACCTCCCCTGAAAGTGGCCTGGCGAATATCTTAGCCAACGACCAACAGAAGAAGAAGCTCGACATTATAGCGGACGATATTTTGGCCAGATTTCTAGACCCAAATGTCTATGGATGTCTGCTGCTCAGAAATTTCATGCGCGAAATGTTCGTGAGCGTTCTATTTGAGTCAACCGTTTCGAGTCTTTCGAGGCCAGAAATCATCAATGGCTGGATTATATATCTTTTTAGTGAAGGCAAGTCAGAAATAATGACTGCAATAGACGCCGGTGTGGAAGGGGCCCAGGAACAAGTTGTGACAGCAACTAGAGAACTCAACAGCGTAAATGAACTTCCATCCGATACAACGCGCAACACGAGCCCAGACTTCGATATCACTAGGGATATAATACAACATGAAATGGCAAATGTTGACAGGGCAACAGTGGAAGCCAAAATAGAGGCGAAGCGACTCAGTGACATGATCACGGCGCATGATCAGCAGAAGCAAAGCCCAGAGAGAGCACTGGGAAACGATGTGCAGGAGGTGGCATCGGATGACAAGATTGATCATAGAGAAGTCTTGCCTGCAGACGAGATCGGAGACGGAGCTTTGCAACGCAAAGTCTCAGGTTGTGATCAAGCAAAGCATATTGAAAATAATATCGATTCCAACGTAGAAGAAGATAACAGCTCGTCTCCTTCACTCATGCAATTCAAGAGTCCAACCGCACCGACTTCGCTACCGGAACCAGCCATCCTTCATCGTGCATCCATAACGGTAGAAACCGAAGCTTCAAAGGCCACATCGAAAGGCCCACTCCGCTCAAAGCCAACGTCGGACTATTTACTGCAAGTTGAACCTGTATCGACACGGTCTACTGGGTGGATGGTTTTCCGAAAATATACCGATTTCGAATCGCTTCACCAAACTTTGGAGGCTATCTCGAGACTGCACAAACTACGGAAGTTCGCAGACGATCACCCAGTTGTACCCTCGTGGAAAGGCCAGACAACATTGGAATTGGCTAAGAACTTGGAATGTTATCTTCAAGATGCTCTTAACCACGAGTCTCTGGCAGAGAGTGAAAAGATGAAACGATTTCTTGGCAAGGATGAACATCTTGGATCGGACTTCAGTAATCCTTACGGCAGGACTGGGTTCCCCTTTCCAAGCCAATCTGCACTCGAGAATGTAGGAAAGGGAGTGTTGGGCGTATTATCCAATGCACCCAGAGGCGTCTCGGGAAGTGGCAAAGCCATGTTGGATGGCATGACAGGGGTGTTTGGTGGAGGCAGCAGTAAAAAGCAATCACCGGATTCAGTGGTAGGCGATAAAGCCAGGCCACTAAATCCTGTCAACCATAATGGGTCAATCGATCAGGTGTCAGAGGGGAGACTTCGGAATTCTACGAGGATTGGCTCGGCTTCCCCACCGGACGGATTTCACACAGACAAGACATTTGGGAGGCCAGCTCCCCCTCCTGAAGAGGCTTTTTCGAATAAATTCGAAACGGCTACGGACTATGCAGGATTTCCCGACAGCTCAGCTCAGACGACGGATGTAGGATGCATTGTGGCTTCTACACAACTGTCTCCTTCAACCGGGCGCAATACTTCGGCTGACCTACCCCGGTCTCCTGGCGGGACGCAAGATAATTCTCACGCCAACAGCGAAGGGCAAGCACCAGACGCTGAATTAAGCGAGTACAGAAGTCAAGGCAATCCTATCACGCATGAAGAGACGCGCATAGCAGTGGAGCTCATATTCGCGGTAATCAATGAACTATACACCTTGTCTTCGGCATGGAACATACGCAGGACTCTACTTAATGCGGCAAAATCGTACATATTACGCCCCGGAAATCCTCATTTGGAGACGATCCGTGAGCTGCTCCAGGTATCGATGATTGATTCGCATACGTCAGATGAAGCAATTGGGCTATATCTCAACAAGTTACGTGAAAATGCTCTGCCAACGGAAAGCGAGTTAGAAAACTGGCCGCCGCCATCCACTGATGCTGAGAAAGAACGGCTGAGGGAGACGGCTCGCAAAGTCTTCGTTCAGCGAGGCTTACCCCAGGCTCTTACGAGCGTTATGGGAGCAAATGCCAGTAAGGAAGTTTTGGGGAGAATCTTCGATTGTCTGCAGGTTCAAAATCTCGCTAGGGGGTTTGTATATTCTCTTTTCTTGCAGGCTCTCAAGACTGCTATCCTCTAATATTAACATCCGGGCCCCGACTCGCTGAGTATTAGCGATCGTTAGCGATCACAAGAATCCCGTCGCATGTATAATACCAAGATTAGTTCCTTTTCGCATCTCTAGTTAATTGAACATCACATGTTGTTTCGGTAATATAAACTTCATTCATTGTATGATGACTGTAATTGAATGTTCACTATTTGATTTGGGTCACGTGATATACGTACCACATTGACGGTCCGTTCCCCCATACATATAGTTAATGGAGAGCTTGTCCACTTTGAGCTTCCGAGAGAGATATCATTGACACATCATATCAATCTCAACACAGTCAGTGGTAAAGTTACGTTCGCCCCTTCCTTTGGCAGCAGACATAGTTATGTCTTCCAGAGCCAGAAAACGCGAACCAGACGCTGAGAGTGATTCTATTGACGACCATCGGTCATCAAAAAGGACGAGGGGCAATGTCTCGAAGGGAAACCCAAACCCTAATCATACCGATTTACTCGCTGGCCAGGGAAAGCTTGACTCGAATGGAGACCTCTACTGGGAAATCTCCAAAGCACGCCGTCTGACCATCTCATCTTTCCGTGGAAAGACCCTGGTCAGTATAAGGGAATACTACGAGAAGGATGGCCACGAGCTCCCTGGGAAGAAGGTTTGTCTTCTATGTTCTAATAGGCCTCGTCACGAAACTCATCGTTTGCGCAGGGAATCTCTTTACCAATTGATCAGTTTTCCTCTCTTGTGAAATTATTACCTCATATTGAAACCACTCTTCAGAATAAAGGCGAATCAATCCCCCGACCACAGTATGATAGCGATAGTAAATTGACCAGTGAGAACAAAGAGGTCGGTGATGACTCTGGTGAATATTCGGATGACAAGGATACGCGCCGGAATATCGAGGCGACGAGTGAGGACGACAGCGATGAGTAGGCATACCCACCAAAGGGGCTAGAATCGTCGTGAGGCAGAGGGTATGGGTTTATCAACAAAGCCATTATTGCTTATCTATCCCTGGGCTTCACTGACGCTGAATTATAATGAAAATGATGAGTGGACCTGTTGGATTCGTTATTAGTAGGTATGCAAGTCGTCGAATATACCATGGATCCCAAACCACGAGAGTACGTATACAGAGTTTTGAAATCGCATCCTGAATGCACTCTAGCTTTCATGAACACCATATCCAGCTAGTCTCTTTGAGTCCCAGTTGGATTTTACTAGATGTCCTATCAGAATTTCCCTTATCACCTCATCGCTAGATCTCGGTCACTCTTACACTTCTTACAACTCCAGTAGACCTACTTACCGATCGGAGCCTTGAGCACGTAAGTGCATTCAACCGAGTGTTTTGGGGAAATAAATGTATGATTTACAATAAAATGGTTTAAAATAAAATAAAAGGCACTTGTTACCTATGCGTCTCTTTATTGTATCATAACTAGAAGAACACTAGCTACGGTACCGTAGAATAAGTATATTGAAACTGTTTACTGCGTGTCTGGCATGGTGAAGCATCTAGCTCCTCATTTAATCTTTTTCTTTGAAGTTGCTTATACAGCAACACAAAGCCTCTGGGGCACTAGAGAGTGCCTTGGCAGTCATCTAGTAATGGTGCCTTTGCCTAGATAGTGAAGATATCAAAGCAATTTTAAAAATTCGAGAGAGGTTGGGGGCCGGAAGAGAGACTTGTTGTATGAGAGGGTACTATCCATGAGATACGTGTAAGACTAGCCAGGGTGTTGAACTACTAGAAGTTTGACGTCTAATTTCGATCCGAATACAAACTAGTTAAGTTTATATAGTATTATTATGAAAAGACTGGCTATTGACTATACCGTCATGTTGTGGAGGTTCAACCCAAACGATTACAGATTAAATCTGCATACAACCTTGTAACCCTAGATGTATGTAACAATTAATCTATGGGTTCAATACTATGATATAACTGAGTACTCGGGTTAGCCATACTTTGTTCATCAACTAAATTTTTAGTACCACAAGATGCACGCTATATTTGGCATCCTAGAGACCCGCATTTGAATGCACAGTCTTTGGGGTAGATAGTCACAATTCAGAATCTAGTATGTATTTTTGGCTATGTACAGTGTGACACCTATTGAGACATTGGAAACTCTGAAATCCCTTTAGAATATGCATTAAGTTATTTATGAAGCCTTTTTGTGCTGGGTATTATTTATGGCTATGCGAATACCCTACAAGTAAGTACTTGATTGTGATGCGTTATGCCCCTTACAATGTTACAAACTCTGTACTCCGTACTATGGGGCAACTATGGTTGTTGTCCCGTGGAAAGTTCGGTGGTTAGCTAGCAAAGCAGATCCATGGCTAGTGAGGGACTTCCGTCATATCAGACCAGAAAATGGAAAACACAAAAGCCCCTTCCCCTCCCCCTTTTCCACCCTTTCCCTCCCATATAACGCTACAGTATAATACGTGCTGCTTGAATATTTTCTTGACCTGAATTATTAAGATACCCACCCGCACAAGCCCTGGCTATCAACCTGAAATTACTGGTTTTCCCTGTCAGCCTGGACGTATAGTCCGGTTTGACCTGTCTTATCCTCCTTGTGACTTGATTGCTTATCAAAAGAGTGCTTTTGGTATGTCCTGACACAGTCATTTGGTTACCTCTAAGTATCAGTATTCAGAAGAGTGAAAATCTATCTCAAACCATTACAACTATGACTTGCACCACTGGCTATTTCCTACTAACAACTAATTACCCCTCTAGTATGCTTGAAGGCCTGTGTGGACTAGAGTTCCGGATCCGAGTTCAATCCCTACCGTCGGGTTTATCGAGCATCCTACCAGCGCATATCAACCAAGAGAGAGCAAGTATCCTGGTCTGTCGACCAACTTTGTCTATTATCATCTCGTGCATACACTACCTGTTGTGCACCAGGTCTGGGACAAACTTGTCATGATTAAGGGGAGAATGCGCATTCTATAACGCCAAACCCGCCAATTGTATTGTCAAAACACACGCGCGCACACACACACACACACTATGCAACCGGAGTGAGTACTCTGGTATGGGTGCAAGACAGCAATCGAGCTGACAAATATCTTGTGTGGACTATCTCAGGCTGCAGAAATACTGTGGACACATCAGCTTCCGGTAAAAAGGATCTTCCTCGTTGGCCAAGCCATTTTCGGCGGTGCTATACTACCTATCTGAAAGCCGAAGCTGGGAAGCTTCATGACTGGTTCTGCCACTCTATATACTGCTAGTCTTTAACTGCGGTCACGGTATCGCAACATCGGGATTGTGTGAACCAACGTTCCCGGATATTTCTGGAAAACGTCTTGCGCCCGTTGGTATCTCATCCAAGTCAACGTTCTAATACATACTGGCATATGCTGAACGCAATCGTACACAGTTGAGGAAAGTCGAGTTATAGTGACCTGATAGACAACGCCCACGTTCATCCATCCCCACAATCGCATTACAGGCTATGTCTACATTAAAGGATTCGGATACCGCGGATTACATTTCCAGAATCGGTTCAGGAACTCCGGCAAATTCTGCCTCGCCACAAGCTGCTGTGTCGCTAGACAAGACGGATAAAGGTCTCATCCGTGAAGGACTAGGCAATCTAAATCGCTGGTCGCAGTCTACAACATCTAGCCAAAATTCGCCGGAAAATAATCGTCGACTCGATTTTACCAGAGTGCCTAGATCACCTTCCCCAACCACTGGCCATGACGAACACATTGACAATAATGACGGCTCGGAAAATCAAAGTCGAATAGCTTCCGAAACTGGCATTGAAATACATGACGGATTTCACATGCCGGAGACATTTGATACTTATGATGAATTGCGCACGCATCGCCCTTTTCAAACGTCGATCACGTCGAGTTATGGCGATCCTGCACCAAATCACCCAGTCGACGTTGTAGGAGCGACAGTGCCACAGAGTAATTGGATATTTTCTGGGGCCACTGAAATACCCCATAACCTTTTCCAAGACCCCTGGGTCAAGGAAAACGGTCCAGGACCTGATTCTGCCCGGGGCAAAAGTAGTGTGGTTCCTACTCGCCCAGTTCTAGAGGCACACAGTCCACGTGAATCAGGGCCTAACGCACCAGCAGAGGAAGGACCGCAGTTGATCTCTGAGGGAGATAGGAGTCAGGGGAAAAGAAAGCGGGGTCAGTCACAGAAAGCAATGCTTTCCAAAGCGTTGCAGAAAGCGAATACCGCAGTTCTTCTCGACAATGCGGCGAACTTCGAAGGGGCTATGGAGGCTTACAATGATGCGTGTCAACTCCTACATTTGGTAATGCTTCGGAGCGACGGAGAAGACGAGAAACAAAAACTTCAAGAAATAGTGAGTTTCTAACTGAACTCAAATTCTCTTCATTTCTAAAACTGAAATTTTTCTTTTAGCGTGATACATATATGGTACGAGTCACTGAGCTACAACGTATGGATTTTTCAATTCGAGATTTGGATAGCAAAGCCCTCCCTGAGCGTCCGCTAAGTCAAGAATCATATGGTGAAATATCTCATCCAATCGTTGATGAGAACGATGTAATGGCCAGAGAGAAGCGTGTCTCTTTGCAGCGCAGTTCTATGGTCCAACCGTTTGATCTGGCGGAAGGGCTAGCGTCCAGTTGGGATCACCAACCGCGCCAGTCATTATTACCGTCACCGCTAGGTGATCGTACACCGACTACAACCCAATCGTCTAATTCGGTCAATTTCCATCATCCTGGATCATCCCGGCGTATATCGAAGTTTGATTACATGGGTGCTTCAGACCCCTCGGAAACAATAACCTCAGGAGTAGATATCACTCATGCTGCTGGCCAGTCTGACCTGTCCTCTTTCGGGGATCATAAGAAGGACGTGAATGAATCGACGTCTTGGCTCGACACCATTGATGAATCTGGCGCATCTTCCCCAGCTTCGATACGCTCAGAAGTGTCATCAATATACTTGCGACATAGAGGGAGCTTTCATCATGCTGTCGGTACCGAGGCCGAATTTGATGCTGCCCTTGATGCTGCTGTGGAAGCTGCATATGATGAAGGTCTGGAACCAGCTGTCGATCTAGATGATAATGGTAGCAGCAATGACATTGTGGCCAATGCTCGGAGAAATGTCGAAATCGCGAAGCAAAAGGTGAGAGAAGCTGAGCGGGAGGCTCAGATAGCATTGACACGCGGGCAAGAAACACAACGTCTTCAAGAACAATCCGCGTATGACGGTGTCAATGATATTAGGACCGATTATCTAGATGAGGAAGCTGAAGAAGAGGAGCGATTGCTGGAGGAGATGACCAGAGGCTATGTTATGGATGACTTCGAATTTGGCATTCAGTCCAAGTCCGCTCTTCCCCGCCAGTCAAGATCGGGTAGCCTTTCTAGCAAATTGCGGGATGGCTCGACTGCTTCCAATACTATGACAGCCCTAAGCCCCCTCGCAGAAGATGCAAGCCTGCCCTTCACTGATAATACAAACTTCGAGCCTAGCGGGTCGTCTCCCCCAAGTCACGGCGCACTTTCGGTTTCGACAAATTCGGGACATGCCTCAATATCAACGCCAACGGTGCGAGCACGGAGACTATCGGGTCAGTATGCCACGGAACTAAAGATCGAAACAAACACGGACCCATTCAGTTTTCGGCCGCCGCCAGTTCCAAAAGATAGTACCGCTTCAACCTCTACTATCAATCATCAGCCAGGTCGAGCATCGGGTCCTGCTTCTGCTCTACGATCAGCCGCATCCGTGAAGAATCGAAATGTCTCAATTGGATCGTTTAACGAAGATGCTCTATCTAACGCAATCTCAGAAAAGATGCCTCACCAGGACGATGATGGCCGTGAGCTCTCCAAAGTTCCATCTCCAACACGTCCCATCGGCAAAGTACCTTCAGCACCGGATAATCTGGGCAAGCTCAATA